CAATCAATTAATATATCTATACATTAGACTGAAGCTGCCTCAATTTATAAAAACGCTCCTCCTTCGACTTCAATAATAATATCTCCCAACAACAATCCACTTTCTGAAGGTTTGCTACCTTCTTGTTCAGTATGTATTCTATTCTATTGTCATTGATATATATTTATATGGAAAGGTATTAAATTAATCGAGAAATTCCTTTTTGAATCTACTTTTTATTATTGTTATTATAAAGATACCGCCTCTTTTATCGGCCAGTACACGTAGAAAGTATAAGGATCCAGGATGTGCAGTCTTGTTTATTTTATTATTTGCAACGATGACGCTTTCTGGTTTAGTTTTACTATTTACTACTAGTGTAAGCTCTATTCAAATTTTTTTTTTTTTGATCTAATTATTATCTACCTACACACATTTTTTAAAATATATTTAAATTGCTTTTAAAAAAATAAAATTTAGTCAACTCCATTAAAAGAATATGCACAAAATTCAATCTTCTTTGCCATCCGTGATAGCACAGGTGAAAAATCTTTTGATTTTTAATGATAATTTTTATCTATCAATATGTTTATCTAATAATATGTCTATTAAAATATTATCTGTGCATATATACACGTATTATAGGGCTTTTTTTTATTTCAATTGTATTTTCTCTATGGATGGTTTTTCTTTGTACATATTTACTTCGTTCTTTTGTGCAGGTATGTGATTTCAAACATTGCTTTAAAAAGAAATCATACATACATACTTACATATCACCAAATAAACATTTATCTTATACTTTTAAAAAAAGATTTTTGTATGGGTGACTGTAAAAGCTGTCCCTTTTGTTGGAATAACACTGTTTATATGGACGATAACAGAGGCCTTCACAGGCGCACTTCGTGAATCAGGAAAACCAGATCCTCAAGACGATTGGTAATTTAAAAATTGATTTTAAAAAATGTATTATATATATATATATTTATATTTATATTAACTATTAATTAATTATTAAAAAAGGCTTGCAGTGTTATCATTCGTTATACTCATCTCATCCATGATTTGTTTTTATTTCTTGTATACTTTGAAGAAAAAAATTGATAAAGCAATCTCGATAATCCAGGTTTATATATATATATTTCAAGACTTGTTTCTCTTTACTAAACTACCAACTAACGACCAAGCAAATAAATTTTTTTTTGTTTAGTTGGCATGCAAGATTTTACAAGACAATATACGAGTGCTTTATGTTTCCTATTCAATTCTATTTGTTTATACTATATTCACTTTAGTATGGCTATTATTCTTTAGCAGAGTTTGGTCGTATGGTACAAGATTCAACAGGTTTGAATTTCGTTTATTGATCGTTTGATTGATAAAAGAGAGACAAAATTTTATTTGATTTAATTAAATCATTTTATCTAACATGTATAACATGTATATATATTAATTCTAGAAACAACTTGGATTCTTGATTCTGATGCACCTTTATTGATTACATTCTATGTCTTGATGTATTTTTGGGTAACATCAGTTTTGACTAATGTTCAAAGGCATGAGGAAAATTTTTATTATGAAAATTCTCAATTAAAATTGAAAAGTTTTTTTTGCTAACTTGCATTTCTTTAAATTTTTTTTTTAAAAAGAGTGACGATTTCGAATGTTGTTTCAGATTGGTACTTTCATAGGTAGTAATAATAGTAAAAGAAGAAAATATTATTATTTCAATGTAAATTGACATATAAATATTAATATATTTAATTTATAATCAGAAATAATCCAGATCGTGACAGCACTCAAGACACTACTTCCTTAGCTCTAAACAGAGCAACCACAACTTCTTTGGGAACCATATGTTTTGGAAGTTTGGTTCTTTCTATGATTTATACTTTTCAAACAATTATTGAAATATCCAATAAAGTATGTATTTTATTTAATCAACTTTTAATTTCTTTTTTTCCTAAAAATAAATAAACAAACAAACAAACTAAATCAACCATTTTAAATTATATTAACAAGTACTTTAGACAGTATGGATGTTTCTATTATTTTACAATTTGTCTGGAATGTATAAGTGGAATTGTAGATAATTTCAATAATTATGTAATGGTTTATGTTGGTATTTCAGGTGAAAGTTTCCTTACATCATCAAGAACGGCCACTGAATTGTTTAAAAAAAATCTTGTTGATAGATTAGTTGATGGTATCATTTTTATATTTTTATTTGAATGTTTGATCAATTAATCAAATAATTGGTTTATTAATTCAATATTTATTTATTATTTTAGTGATGACATTATCCTTTACAAAATGCATTTTATTTATCAATTCTTTGATTATTACGCTTATTTTTGGGCTTGTTACTTTTATATATGCCACACACGTATTACAATCTTCATATGGATACATTCCTGGAATTTTATCAACAATGATCTCCTTTTATATTTCAAGATTTTATACATGTATAATGATGAATACGTATGTATTTACATTTATATATATATATATTTATCTTTTTTTTTTTTTTGTTTGATAGAAATTATTCTAACAAATAAAAAATTATATCTATTTTATTTATTTTATAGGGTTGATGCAGCATTTGTTTGTTATGCGATAGATCTTGATATCAGCAAAATTCATTGTAAATTGGCACATGGAGTATTTTCAAGCCTTTAAGTGGAAGAGATTATACATAATTTATTTTTTTTCTTCATTGTCATTGTTATCATCATCAAACAACAACAACAAAACATTTTTTCATCACACATTCTGTTTATTTATAATTTTCCCCGTTAATTATTGTAATATGTGTATATAAATGGTCAGGCCACAACAAAGTGGAATAAAGATTCCGGGGTTAAATTATAGAAAAACCTTGTTTGGATGAATACATTTCATAATAATAAATAAACGTATTTAAGATGTGTTTTTTTTATCTGATTTACTGTAAACATTATAATAAACCATTTAATAAACATACACAAGAATTTATAATAAAAACAACATCAATTCACTCACTCACTTTTACATTTAAAATCTGAATAAAATTTTTAATATTTAACAAAATGCTTGGTTTTTTGCTACATTTTAAAATATTGACAATAATTAATTTGATTCAGATTTTTCATTTAACAAAATGGCAATTGAAATTCATGAATTATCTGAAGAGGATTTCTGCCTCCACTATCAAGGACTTCTACTTGTAAAAGACCAACCATAAGAAAAAAAAAACAGAGAAGCAATTTAGAATTGGTTAATATGTTGTACGTGAATTTGAAAAAATTTGAAATTTACGCGTCAAATTAGCCAATCAGAGTTTTGTATCCAAACATCCTACCCCAAAATTTAATTTCAAATTGACAACATGACAACAACAAATATAAAAGGATTAAAGAGATGAAGGGTAAAAAAAAAATCAAGATATTAATAATGACATTATTGGTTAATAATAATAAAAATAGTATAGATTTGCGCCAGAACAGGTAATCCGAGTATTTCTCTCCTTTGCAATTGCTCTGGTGTTTTTTTTCTTATATTTGTTCATCCTTCCAATTAAGATTAATAAATAAATATTTTATTTTAAATTCTTCTAACCACTGCTTTAATTGCTATTTTTTAATATATCAATATATAGATTTTAATATTTATTATCTATAAAATTATAATGTATAGATGTTATAACGGGGATTATGTAGAATAGTGGCACAGTACGCACGCGGAATTTGTTTTTAGCATGGACGGAATTAGCATTTCATCACTGCAGAAAATCATCATCAGGAAATTAAAAATGTATTGTGCCATTCATAGCACATTACCACTATTCATTACTTATTTAGATGCAGTAGATAGTATAAATTGTAGCAAATAATATTATTTAAAACTCAGCTATTTAATAATTAATTATTAATAACATTAGATAGTTAATATTTTTTAATAAATAATGTAAACAATAAATAACATAAATATTGCAATCTGTTATTTATTATAAATTTATTATTTATATTATATTACTATAATAAATAAGCATTATTTACTTTTTGTAAAATAAAATCAATCTAACATTTATGTTAAATAATAATATAATAAACCAAAAAATAAATCTATTCACAAAAAAGAATTCTGATGATTATGATGTGGGATAAGGACATTCATATTTGTAAAACCTTTTTGGATCATCTATATATTTAAAATTATACCATTGAATTAAAGCCAAATCTTCATTTAAATAATTGGAATTTGTAAACTTAAATAATAACAGAACCTAGATAAATGTTAATATAATATTACTGATTGATTCATATAATTGATTGATTTATTGACAATAAATATACATTTCCACAGCAATTTCCATTATCATCTTCATTCATACAAATCATAGTGTTACTAGACATAGGCTCAGAATAGAATTGTTCTGTACATCTTATATATTCATCAGAACACAACCCTGCTGTTTCAAAAAACTGGAGTTCTGTATGTTTGTTAATAGACTTTCCATTGGCTGTTGGCTCCATATCAAAATATACATCAAGACAAGATATTAAATTTTTTAATCCATCAATAATTTTCATTTGATTTGAAATGTTGTTTATTTATATGATCATAAATATTAGCAAGTAGAAATTTTGATGTTGGTTTTATGACCATTTGTTTGGTTTGATTTATTCTGAGTTTTTTTTAAGAGAATCATGAACTATATTTGAAATGTCTTGTCTATATACCTACACAAATCAGAATCAGAAATAATTAACTTTATATAAAAATTTGTTAACCATAAAGTAAAAGTACAAAAATATATTTACATGATTTAGCATTTGATTAATGGGTTTCCTTTTATTGGTGGATCTGTAAAGAATTTTAACAGAGGATTTGTGAAGTGATTCATATGTTTCAGCTGTTTGACCATCGAGTGAACCAAAATATTTAATGGAAGAAGATGTGTGATGTAACCATGAATGTAACCTAGGTAATGATAAGCCAGATGGAGAAAAGGATTTAAAAAGTTTGACAAAAATTTCTGCCCAACTTTTTGTCATATTCTATTTGATAAATCAACTATTATTAGTATATAATTAGTGCATAATTTGAAAAATAAAGTCATAACTAAAGGAAAATATACCTGAAAATCAACTAACTCACTTTCAGAAAATTGGTTTTCCTACTCATCAGGCACATGTTATTCCAACTCAAACATAGTAAAATTTTATAATCGAATGTCTTCACACCCTCATTTGATACCCTTGCTGTGTAGCAACCACCACCAAATT